CAGTGTCGTTATATAATACTTGGCTAATATTAGTCTGTGCCTGAGAAAATGTCTGATGCATGCGGTCATCAGGTTTTTCAGTCGACGGAATAACCCATGGAACATCATCTACAGTTGTCCTATTAGGGTTATCAGTATTCAGTGTTCCTGAGCGGCATCGTCTTTGGCACGGTGTTAAATCAGGTGCAACCTTAATGTTAGTGTAGGGTGTTGAAGAGCCTATTATCTTACCAGCTTTCATAAAATTCCTGGATTCTTCGACAGACCTGAACTTGAAAAGCACCGGACATGAGTGGTTTGCAGATTTCTTACGAGGACGCAAAACCTGACATTCTGTCAACGACATATTACAAGCCCTCAGACATAAAGTTTTAAGTTTGGCAATAGGCTCTCTGTCTGGAATGTTATAGGCCAAGACGTTATGTGAAGATATAATCCTCTTAACAGCTTCTTCAGCCAAATAGTCAATTATGCGCTCAGATTTGATAAGTGATTCAAGGCAGGTGTTTTGTGATAGGTCACACAATTGCGCGAGGGGCATAATGCTGTCAAACTTGCTCTGTAGGTCTGCCATTGACTTCTGAAGTGTCAGTAAATCATTTTTGCTACAAGCCGCATTCTCTGTCAGTTCACTCATGATATCAGATACCATAAATCTGGGTGTGTCTGGTGTCAAAAGTGTAGAATCGTCAACGGAGCTGAGGCCCTCAGATGGTTGACGAGCGTTAGATCTCAGTCTCTTAACGTTACTTACACGTTTGATTGACAGTGAGGGTCAGCATCCAATGTCGAGTGATGATTGCTGTGGTCAATAATTTTGAGGCATTATTTACCGCTAAAGCTCACTCCCCCCTAGTGGGGTTGTGAGGACCCTAAGACAGAACCAGCCGGAAGTAAAATAATCTCGATGGTTCCCTTATGGGTGAAAAAACCTTCCGAGCGGCTTGATGGAGTGCCTACTGGTCTGTCTGCCTATGCTAATAGGGTGTCTGTACATAGCTTCCTCGATGTCCGTGCTTCGTTTGTTTCTTGTCCAGTGCCCGTTGCACCTGGAAAAGAAAACAAGAATGCTGAGAACCTTGTTGTACCAAATAAGCGTCTTTTAAAAAATGACGTGCATCTACGATACAGTAAAATAATGTAAAGTTTAAATCATCGAGAAAGAAATATATATCTAATTTTTTTCAAGTGCATGTATAATGTACGGTTATAGGAAAAATCTTTTACTTGTGTAGTGATGCTACATAAGAAAGTTGATATGTCTGAAAAGAATAAATGATGATTAATTCCACAAACGAATGAGTTGGGTTAATCGAACCACTCAGTTATGTGATATAAGTGTGAAGGTATTCTGGGAATCTTACGTAACGTCCAGAACGCCGTGCTAGGGAGTTCTTCAACGGTTAAAAGATATTCAATTACTTGTGGATTATCGGGTACGTTTAGCTCTAGGCTAATAGGATTGCCTTCCAAGTAAGCCGGTTTCAGACGGTCGATACTGACGGTGTCTTCGCGGCCTTTTTTGTCTAAGACAAAGAATTTATCCGGACGTTTAATTACTTTATATGGTCCGTCATACGGGGGTTCTAGAGGGCGACGCACAGAATCGCGACGAACAAATACGTGTGAAGGAGTTTTTAAACAGGGGTGATCGAATACATCAGTGGACTGTGGTCGGAGGGGAGCAGGTTTAACCGAACGTGTTGCGTTTGTAAGCCTGCTGAGGTGGGAGGCGTGATCTACCGCTGGTGAGAAGCTCGAGGGAGAAACAAAATCACCTGGCAGTCGTAGTTTGTCAGGAGCCAGTCGTCGTGCTTTAGATATCACAGGCTGTCCTGAGGTTATGATGTGGTGCATAACATTGCTGGTTATGCACGGTAGATCGTTAGACGGGCAGTTAAGGTCCGATATTTATCAGTAATGGGTTGAAAAGTTGGATTGACGATTGCCTTCATCTTAACGAGTGACAAGCTGGGGCCAATGTAAGTTATGCCTTTCATAGACCGACTATTAGTATTGTAAATCAGTCGTTTTCGGCGGACGTCTACGAGCAAATCATGATGATTAAGTAGGTCCGTGCCAATGATGGGCATTGTGACGTCAGCGATTAGGAAAATCCACTGAATAGGTTTGCGTAAACCTACGTTCAGATAGACGTATTTCCGACCATAGGTTGCAATCGGTTTTCCATTTGCAGCCTGTAAGTTGAAGGTAGGTTCCTTCTGTCGATCTGCTGCTGTAGCAGGAAGGACAACGACTTCAGCGCCTGTGTCAACTAAATATCTACTCTGGCCGATTACATCGTGGATGTTAAGTAAGCGGCCAGTGCCACCGGCGACGGTTGCCGCTAACGCGTGCCGGCGGGATAGTTTCCCACAGACTTTGTGACATTGCCGAAGTTGCAAGGTTTACGGCAACATTTCGCTTCCTGGCCGTAGGTGCTGTGATACCAGCACCAGTTAGGATTTTTGAGAGAACGTGGGTTGGACTTAGATCGGCCACGTGCGTTCTGCCGTTGAGGAGATTTGGGACGATGGTAGGAGGAATTACTAGGCATGTTTGACCTAAGCATCTGCTGGATGGAGTTGCATAAATCTATCATTGCAGTATTCTTACTCGAAGTCTGTTTGGTAACTGAGTATATTTCGGTAACTGGCCGTTTCGTTATCTCTAGAATTTTATCTGCAGAGACAGCTAAGCCATCTATAAGAACGCCCTGAAGTGTCACAAGCAGTCTGAACTGACTGTGGCAGTTTGGATAAAGAGTTCTCTGAACAGTCCTTCATCGAACTGACTTTGGCCAATAACCTCTCTCATTCTTTTCAGCATGCTCACGGCTGACTGATCTCCTAACTCGATGTTACGAAATAATTCATCCAGACGCCGTCGATCCGTGAGAACGTTTCTCTTGAGGATGGATGCTCTGAGCAACTCGTACGAGTTACTTACCGACATCTGCAGAGTTACGCACTTGCTGAATTCCCGCGGTAGGGCGTGAATAACTGCAAGGAACTGTGAACGTTGATCGGTTATGCCGTGTTCACAAAAATCAGACTCAGCAATCTGAAACCACGTTTCAGCACTATCTGGCCAATATGGTACGAGCTGAATTGTTTTGGCGGTTGGGCGAATACGAATAACCTTGGAGCTAGGATCACTCATGACGAAATGTATGCCGGTTACAATATAGTACAAGAAAAAACACAAAAAGGAACGAACTCGCTGGGTTTATCTGCGTGTTTTTTGAAGATGAAGTTCGTGGTTGGGCTCATCAGTTTAGCGGTGACGGTATCGACGTTCGCGAATTTTACGGAGTATACTAACGTAAGATCTTATACCAACAACTTCTATAGTGTTCGCTCTTCGAGTACCAAAGGTAAAGCAAAAGACCGGATTTAGTCGTCCAAAGTACGATATATTTCGGGACCAAATCGCGGGCTGAAGTGAATGCTTAGCTGGCTAGTGATCGTGCACGCACGTGACACGACGGAGTACCAAATGGCGAGGATGAATGACCGGAAGCTAAACAAGTCGACTTAAACAGTGAGGGTCAGCATCCAATGTCGAGTGATGATTGCTGTGGTCAATAATTTTGAGGAATTATTTACCTCAACGAATACGTAGTTTCATGGCATGACTAACTTATCATACGAGGAAAGACTAGACAGTTTAAATCTTTTCTCCTTGTCATACCGCAGGCAGAGAGGAGATTTAATCACAATGTTCAAAATTTTAAATAATGACTACGGACCTGACTTATTCTCTCTTTTCCTTCCCATCAAGTCGGAACACTTGAGAGGACATAGCAGGAGAGTTCAAAAGCCAAGAAGAAATCATATTACTGTTGAGTAGTGGTTCTTACACCGAGTCATAAACTCTTGGAACCGACTCCCAGAAGAAGTGGTGTTTGTAATCTCAACTGATTCGTTCAAGAAGGGTTTGGACAATCACAGAAATTTACTAGAAAAGGATTAACATAGGCTTCAAGCCATTGAAGGCTTGAAGCCTATGTTAATCGCCGATGATATATGTCTGATTTCCCACAAACTGGAAGATGTGCAAGTGAAAAGTAACAAGTTGGCAGAAGAAGCATCAAAGATAGGACTCCAGGTGAACATAGAGAAAACGGAGGTGATGAAGATCCCTGGCCAACACCAACAGCAACAACAACAGCCAGCAATCAGCATAAATGGAAGGAACCTGAAAGAAACTACCTCCTTTACCTACTTGGGAAGCATTATTTCAACTACAGGCGGAACTGACGAGGATATCAAAGCAAGGATCCGAAAAGCAAGGCAAGCTTTCACTACTCTCAAGTCTGTGTGGAGGTCAACAGTATTCAGCGTCAAAGATAAGATCGGGATTTTCAACTCCAATGTGAAGTCAGTACTACTATACGGATCAGAGACTTGGCGTGTCACAAAGAGCACCTCAAACAAGCTACAGACCTTCATTAACAGATGTCTTCGCTCAATACTCAAGATCACATGGCCGGAAAGGATCAGCAACAAAGATCTCTGGGAGCGAACCAACCAGGAACCGATTGTGAAACAAATAGGCAGGAAGAAATGGAAATGGATTGGCCACACTCTGAGGAAACCAGCAAGTGACATCACTAGACAAGTCATTGCTCGAGTGGAACCCGAAAGGGAAGCGACGAGTTGGTCGTCCAAAGGTGACCTGGAGGAGATCATGTGAAGAGGAGACGAAAGCATGTGGGCAGACCTGGAGCCAGGTGAAGACTCTAGCAGAGAACCGAACGCAATGGAGACGCATGGCTGATGCCCTATGTTCCTCTAGGAACTAAAGGAAATAATATTAATAATAATAATAATCAAGCCTTCAATCCTCAACCAATAAATTTGAAACCTTGGAATCGCATTATGAGTTGGAATATATTCTATTGGTAACAGTAAACCAGAAAACATATCTGAGATTCATAAAAATGATGTGAAAATTATAACCTTTAAGACCTTAATACTTTTAATTTTGTTGTGTTACTCGTGAACGCGACCTGCCTGCTACCCGCGGGATTGTGATTTGATTTAACTGGCACTGCGAGTTGGTGATGGCTACAAAAGAGCAGAGCAAACCCAAAGATCCTCCGGAAATTATAGTAGATGCTACAAGAAAGAGAGAGTTTGTTAGAGGTCGATTTTTGGGAAAGGTAATTCTCATTTTTCACATATTTTCGCCTCAGGGTGGATTCGCAAAATGTTATGAACTCACCGATAAAAAGACTGGGGAAAAATTCGCTGGCAAAGTTATCAATAAGGCAGCTTTAGTTAAAGAATCTCAGAAGGAAAAGATGCGACAAGAAATTAGCATCCACCGTACTTTGAAGCATGAAAACGTTGTGGGATTTCACGGAAATTTCGAGGATAATGATTTCATATATATCCTACTGGAAATATGTAATCGCAGGGTAAGATTGTTGATTCTATTTTATTTTGGAATCAGTCCCTTTTAGAATTACACAAACGCAGGAAATATGTTACAGAACCGGAGGCAAGGTACTTTGTGAAGCAGATTGTCAATGGATGCCAGTATCTTCATCAGAATAAGATAATGCACAGGGATCTTAAACTCGCAAACCTCTTTTTGGATGATAACTTAAAAGTAAAGATAGGCGACTTTGGACTTGCGTCAAGGATTAGCCGAGAGGGGGAAAAGAAGAAAACCCTATGTGGAACACCTAATTATATTGCCCCAGAGGTCTTAGGAAAAGGCGGACACAGTTTCGAAGTAGACTCGTGGTCTCTTGGATGTATATTGTATGTTACTTCTCATTTAATTGAAACCCTTTCAGGTACACTTTACTAGTTGGAAGTCCTCCTTTTGAAACGAATAAACTCGAGGAAACGTATGCACGCATTAAGCAAAATGAATATCGTATTCCCATTCGTGTGTCAATTAATGCTTCCATGCTTATTCGTTCTTTGTTGCATGCCAACCCTGAGAAGAGACCAAACATGTTCACTATACTTGACCACGCATTCTTCAAAGAGTTCACACCTAGTTGTCTCCCTGTCAGCATTCTCAGCACCTGTCCACGGTTCGATACTATGCCTCAGTCACAGTCTGGACGACGCCCGTTGTCTGATATTAACCCAGTTGAGGACGTTCCAATTACCAGTGGAGGAGGTGGTGTTGCTAACTTAGGTGGGGATGCAGTTGATAAAGCTGTACAGCCAGACGATTGTTGGTTAGGAGAACTTCAAACGAAAGTAAGTATAGCTCCTCTAATTTAATTCCTCTTAGTTGGCTCGCCTTTTGAAAGAAGCCCAAGAACTCGAAGATTGTTCCCCAAGAGCAATGGAGGAAAGTGAAGATCCAGCAGCCTGCCCAATATATTGGGTTAGCAAATGGGTTGACTATTCAGACAAATATGGTTTGGGATATCAACTGTGTGATAATTCATATGGAGTTGTGTTCAATGATGTGACTAGGCTTCTTTTGACGACTAATGCGCAAAATATTCAATACATTGATGAAAAAGGTACTGAGCGCTTGTTCACTTTGGCACAACATCCTGATTACTTGGCAAAAAAGGTGACCCTTCTCACATGCTTCAAATCATACATGCACCAAAATCTCTTGAAAGTAAGTTTTTCTTTTTGTTTTTCGGCTATTGTTAAGCTGCAGCAAAGTTTTGTTCATCCAAACTAACCACACTTCTAAAACTAGGACTTCAATTTAGTAGATGTAGCTTAAGTTCGCAGTTTAAAGAACCTGGTGCGGAATTCTGCACTATTTCGCTTATCAGATATCATTGAAACGGCACCAACTACTGACGGTCGATTCATACAGCAGGCGCAAAGTAACTTCCAGGGGTCTGTAGAAAGTGAGTTGTTATGGAGTTACATACAACGGCCTGGTTATTCTCTTGCAACATAAAGATCTTTTGGTTGTTGAATATCCTTAAAGTATGCCTGTTAAGTCACAGGAATCCTTTGGTCATAGCTATTTGAGGTATTCTGATTCATATAGTAAGCACCTGATAGCATCAACTGCGTACAACTTGTCTACGGGAGACTAGATTTTTCGATTGTCTAATGTTTCTCCGGTCAAGTTAAACTTTAAGCACTCCTAACTACCAATGTAGTGCGAACGTATCAATGATCTTGAAATGCCCACTGAGCAAATTACTGAAAACTGGCAAATAAATACATGCATAGAATATGGTTAAATTACTCTGTTTATATAAGAATAGAACTTGTGCACTGCGGTAGAATATAATTCCATTGTGGGTGAAATTTATTTCGATAAATTCTCACAATGCTATACAGTAATATTTACTGATGACGTTTCGAGCACAATTTATTGCTCAGTAAATATTACTGATTGGTAGTTAGTGATGCTTAAAGTTTAACTTTGCCGTTTCACCCTTCCTATATGCACTTTTCAACTGTGTCGACTGAAGTGTTCGATTTGGTTGTTAAACGCAGTTCTCCTTATGAAGTAGACCAAAAGCAGTAGCGACTGGCTGGTTTCAACGTAGAACTTTGCACAGATATGCAGGAGTTCGAATTCCAACACTCCATGTACCACACAAAGCAAAAGAAGAGAAACAATAGACAGAAGTGTGAGTGAGGGAAAAAGAATAGTAATATGGAAGAACAATATCATTTTATTGAGTATTATAAATCACAAATGCATCTGCACCATCACTAAGAACGATTTTGAGTCATATCACCAATTGTCTTCAACCATTGGTTCTTACCATTGGGTGGACCCCAACCAGCCAGGAAGTCTACACCTCCCTACGTGACTGACTGGTTGGCTCGCTGGCTTAAACTCACTGTAATGGATTTCATTGACTGATGAAGCCATGTTTTGGTTTGACCACGACTACGACTACCACTAGCTCTTTTCCAACCTGATCCATCCTGTCAGTCAGCTAAGTTTGGCCGTCGAGGATGGCGGTGGCTAGGCATGCATGCGTGCGTGCGTAACACATGTCCTAGTCATCTTTCTCAGTCGATGTAACTTCACAACCTCGTCGATTGATTGATTTCCCCTGCTCACCTAGCGATTGATTAAAACCTAAACTCAATACTTCTCACTCTATTATACCATTTGACACGGGAGATAGAATGCAGGCACCTATGATCAAAGACAACTAGCCAGCTTTTTCATGTGTTCCACTCTCAATGGCCATGTCTCGCTCACAGCCATAGAGGAGGATAGAGTGTACTGCTGGGCAGTACACACGTCCTTTGGTTGATAGCCAGCCGGATATCACGTCTACGCCAGAGACGGCGTAAACTGGCATATGAGGAACTAGCCCTCTGTATCGATGCTGAGGTTTCGTCAGCGATCAACCCGCTGGCCACTGGCTGATGCAACTGCCCAAATAAGTGAAGCGGTCAACGTGCTCTACCACTTCACTCCCTATGTCTAAGCCACAAGTCGATGTAGTCCACTCGTGTTGCAGCATCTTACATTTGGCGGGAGGGAGTTGCATACCGAGCATTCGAAGATTGCTCCTCAAGGTGTTCAGAAGACTGCATTTTGTCACCTAGGTGGACTACATGATCCACATACCCTAAGTCAACGAGATTATTTCCTGTTAACAAGTCAATCGCTGAGTCGCTGAAGTCGGTTAGGGTTAAGTCCATTAGTACATCTATGATGAAATGCGGATAGTGTGCATCCCTCATGAACATCACTGGTTGTTATCATTTCAGATGACAACTCTCCGTAAGCTCTAACCTGGCTGCTTGAGTGCAAGTAGAGTGCCTTGATCAGTGCAATATATTTTATCGGCATTCCTTTCACAGCCAAACATCGCCAGAGTACCTCTTGGTCGACAGAATCGAATGCCGCTTTTAGGTCACCTGTAAGTATGCCTGTGTTCCAGTCGAAGGTTGAAGATGTGATCGGTACACCCTCTTCGTGGTCTAAAGCCTGCCTAGTTCTCTCGTGTTTGTGCCTCCCAAGCACCACTTAGTCTACGCATTATTATTGAGCCTTGAACTTTAGATACCATATTAGTCAAGCCAATCCCTCTGTGATTATCACAGGAATACTTGTCTCCCTTTTTGTATATCGGGATAATCAATGACTTACACCAACCCGACGGGACTTCCTCTGATTCCCAGACGCTGCCTAGCACCTCAGTTAACGCAGACAGTAAACTGTCTCCACCGTACTTAAATACCTCTGGAGTCATTCCATCAGGTCCTACTGTTGTGCTTCGTTTCAGACTAGTGACAGCATTAGTAACCTCAGTTAGTGACGGAGGACCTGTGTTTATATCCCATTCAGAGAGGTGTTGGATGCTAGGTAAGTTGAGCGTGGCTGTAGGCACATTGAACTGGTCCTCAAAGTGTTCTTTCCAGCGTTCTAGTCGTCTTTCCTGAGAGTTAATTAGGGTTCCATTTTTCTCGGAGATTGTTTCACTTATCATTTGCCTTTTGCCACCTGTTTAAATGATAAGTCTAAATAGTTGTCTGGTATTAACAATGGTCGATGTCTTTTCTATCTCTTTCGCTTTTGTCACCCACCACTGTTCACGGTCGTTACTAAGACTTTTTGTTAGTTTGCGTTCGAGTAGCTTTCGCTTATCATAATTGGAGCTCGCCGGAATCAGTCTTGCGTCAATCATTTCGGATGAGGTGGTAGAAATCCATTGGCTCTTACTAACTTTAGGTTTCAGGTTGTCTACAGCTAACTGTATGTTGTGCCAGACTACCTCAAGAAGAGTCTTGCTGTCGACCTAAGATACTCGTCTCGCTATTTCTTCCTTAAATGGGGACTCAGAGTCTCTACCTAGTTGGGGACGTAGCTGCTTCGCTGCCAACAATTTTTTATGTCTCTTTAGTCGTAAGCATAAACGTGCGCGAACCAATGCGTGGTAGGAGTCTACGCATGTGTTCCAGAAGGAGCGGCAGTCTTCTACTAATCCTTGCCAACGATAGCCTATCGCTATGTGATCTGTTTGAGTCCAACATTGATTTAGTGATGGAGGTCGTCAGGTTACGCTATGTCTTTGTGCCTAAAGTTAATGTTAACTACAAACAGGTGCGTCGGTGGCATAGCGATTAGGACGCTCGCCGACCATGCACATCGTCCGGGGTTCGATCCCCGGCCGACGCACTCCTTTACCTCGCTAATCCAGAAGTAATGCTGGTGAAGAGGAAAGGTTAGGCATGAGGCTAGCAACCCCATCCTGTAAAATGAACACTGCTACAGAAACTTCAAGCCAGTGGCTTGAAGCCCTATGTTCCACTGGGGAACGTGAAGGAAATAAAAAAAACAGGTGATTATCTGAAGAGAACTGTATGTGACGATCACCGTTGTTGGTTCGTCGGCAGGGAACTCCATACGTACCACCTACATACTTCTCAGTCTGACGTAACTTTCCTACTTGGGCATTGAAGTCGCCTGCTACAACAACTATATATGAGCTTTTCGCTTTTTGCAACAAACTAGACAGTTTCTGGTAGAAATCGTCCTTTAGTTCATCCGGACTGCAGTCGGTTGGAACGTAAGCGGAGACTACGAAAAGACAACAACGGGTAACGCCGTCCTTCCTTCTTCTGATGGACCCGTTCAGATGGACCGCAAACATACGACTGTCTGCCAGGGTCCAGTCAAGAAGTGATTTTGCAGCTTCTCGTTGTTGGCTGGGTAGGGTTAAGTGAATGACCTTACTCGGGTCTTATATGCGTATCTCAGAAACACAACATACATCCATGGCACGAGATGCCAGAGTTCTGTGTAGTGATGCCTGTTGTCCGACTTGGCAGAGGGTCCTGACGTTGAACGCTCCAATATGAAGTTTGGTAACGTGGCTTAAGAAGGCTGTTTGGGATGTTTCTATGACTCTCATCATTGTTTATGGTCACAGAGTGAAGTGAAGATGACTCACTAGCCTGAAGAATAGTACCGACTGTAGTAGGAAAGTAAGATGATGAAGGTGATGTGATATAAGAGAATGATGCTCAAGAAGACTTCGTGTGCTTGTGGAAGTGTGTGGGCGGTTGTTACTTCCCGGCTGCCCACGCTGTGTAAGTTGATTGATTCTTCGGGTATCTGAGACAGAAAGAGGGTTAGTGTTGCGTGACCGCAGAGCCCAGGGGCCAGCTGCTTGAGACCGGTCACACAATGCCTGTATGAACTGGTTTCTTGGATTGGTTCCCTATTGGTAAACTTAACACCGGTTACGGACCACCGTAGAGTAAGTCGTGATGTACACTTCTTAGGTTCGATCTTTTCTAACCCCGTCCCTCCAGAGTGGAGAGAGCATAGCTGGCATGCTGGTCATCTAAGGGAAACACCTTACCGCTAATACATCTCTGTTCCCCAGCAGTACGACTTCGCACGCAGACCCCCAGCATAGTACACTTTGATACTCGCCTTACAGAGTATTCATGAAGAAGAAATTCGAGAATCAGTGAGGTATATCTGAACATATTGGAAGGTACACTGAACCTTGTGTGATTGGATGTGCTTGCTTCGCAGATGTTAGCTACATACTTGCTATTCATTCTACTTAACTTATCAAAAGTTATTACCAGTTGAGAGTGAAGCTAGATTACATCCTACTGATCAGTTTTAAGTCTTAAATTATTTTGTTCATGTAGTAAGAACCATGTAGATCGTAATTTTAAAACCCTCCTGCGAAATGATATTTTGAGTGATCACAACACATTTTTTAAAATTCAAGTATGATACATGTAGTCTCTTGTTTTTGTGATTTCTCACAAATAGGCTGGGGAGAATATAGCACGTCCAGATGCTGATGCTATGACACGCTTACCATTCCTTCGTAGATGGTTCAGAACACGCTCAGCAATTGTCCTTCATTTGAGCAATGGTACATTACAAGTAAGTCACTTTTCCGCTTTAGTTTTAAGTTAGTTTCTTTTAAAAGCATTTCGAGAGCCCATTATTACTGTTATGTGAAAACGGGTGTTTCAACACGTATACAGCATATTAACATAGGGGATATCTTACTGTACTACATCAGGTAATATTTATGTGTTCATACTTACAGGATCACAATTGCATGACATTAAAGTTAGACACTGATAAATAACAGTACCTAATTATCACTTTGTTCTTCTCCATTTTTCTCATTAGTGATGAAAGCTGCAACTTTTTCACTGTACCATTTATAACCCACTCGTGCTGTATTTCCTCAGGATAAGTAACTCACTGGCTTCGAAGTACAGGGGTACGACCGAATTATCTAAGCCGTCTATCTGTACTATGAAGTCAGCTTTAGACTTAATATTGAAGTGAAATTTGAAGATTCTCAGGAACTGATTATCAAAACTTGCGTCATAAATCTCAGATTCAAGTAGATAGTTTATTACAAACTAGTATACAAGATACTCATCTTCAAGTTAGTAAACATTGTCAAACGGTTTTATGTAAGTCGTAGGTATGCCTTCTTGGACGAGATTTGTAGACACGTAGAATTTTATTTCGTAAGTCTAAATCACTAGCACAAACTGCATAGCTAGGAATAATAAGTGTATGTTGAGAATCCAACAGTAGTCTTTGAAAAGTATTATTAAAAACGGCTGATAGTTATTTTAAAAAACTGAAAACTTTGCGGCAGCCACTCAGTAGTTGGCAAGTCTCAGCAAGTTAAGTGAAGAAATCAGTTTGTTGCGGATGCTCTCATTATCCTGGAATATGTAACGTGTAAGCATTAGAGACGTTCACCTGTCGACGAATCACATAGTCTCTTTTGATTTCTCAGATTCGATTCATTAGATTTCGTTATGCTCTAAACGATTCTTTTATCTCGTACATTGACTGACTGACTGGTTTCAACGTAGAGCTTTGCATAGATGTGCAGCAGTTCGAGTTGTCACACTCCATGTAGCACACAAAGCAAGAGATAAGAGTAAAGAGAGATTCGTACATTAATATTTTTGCTACTGAATGCATTATACATATGGTGTTGGGTGAAACGCTAATTTTATGTAATTGTATTTTAGATAAACTTCTTCGATGATCATGCGAAAATTATTTTATGTCCTTTGATGCACGCGGTAACCTATATTGATGCCAATAGAGATTTTAGGACGTACCGCTTTAAGCTCCTTCGAAGCTTTGGTGTAAGCGCTGATCTGGCTAATAGACTACGGTATGCGGCAACCATGATTGAACGCCTCCTTATGCCACCCAACGTTCCAGCAGGTTCAAATTCAAATGATCCCAGTTGTAAAACAGTCCAACCCAATGCTACAGACAACGCCAAATTCAATAAACCCGTGCCAGCCAACCTGCAGAAAGCATATGCAAATGCAGCAGCTGCAGTGACCAAGGGAGTCGCTGCTGTAGTTCGGCCGCCGAATTAGTTATAATGACTAATGATAACACAATTATTTCCTACTGTCTAATATTCCTCGACCTAACTGCGAATTGTCAGTATCACTTTTTCTTGACAGTGCTTCCAATACTCTGATCTATTTTTATTTTGTCACATTTTTTTTAAACCAATCTTGTACACCTTGATTACTGATTATTTCATCCACGATTACCCGGAATACTGTGAAACTTAATTGATATTGATTTATGGGATTAAAAAATCACAGATTTTTCTTCAAGCTTTTAATATGTCTTTAACTTGGATGTAAATTCTTAACATTTGTGAATTTTGATGTATAGCATTTCATGATAATTGAATATGCTGGTCTATAATATACGATTAAAAATCAATTGTTTTAAAATAGAACGTGAAATAAAGTCTTCACGATTATGCTCTTTTCTTCTGATTTTGACGATTTCTCTGGAACTAAACAAAATTTTGGTGTTGAGCTACCACTTAGAGAGAGATAATTTCCGACTGAAGACGGTGATTGTGAGTATTCGTGGACTGTATAATATATGGAAATAGAATACGACTGTGGTCAACATAACAGTGCCGCTTAGTGGTCCCATACTTTTACAGCAAGTCGGGATACAAAGGTGTACTCAAGAAAACTGTATCAGTGAAACCAAAGATAAGTGTGATTTGTTATCACAGATAGAATGTCTTCAAGTTTTGATTACTTTTGAGACGGTGCGGCCCATCCCTGGTCCCACACGCTTACTGACCATAGTCTCTGTGAAGCTGCCTCGCAGTACGCTAGTACGTAGTCATTTATCAATAATAGTATTCGCTTGTGATTCATCGTGAATTTTGTGTTTGCTCCACTTAAGTAAGTGGGCAGTTACTTCTCGCTTTTGTGTGGAACTCAGTAATCTGTATTAGTGGATATCGCTGTAGGTTGTATCGACTAAATAATATGCATTCTTACTGCCGTGACATCAGCAGCTCTAATGCAAATATATGCTGTCGAACCAAACCCTAAAGTGTAACTTTTGTAATTATTTTAACTGACTGGTTTCAACGTAGAACTTCCCCAGGAGGGAATATGAATACGTGGTTTTGAATGGAGTAGGCTCTGTCCATCTTTGTTCATAACATGATTTTATGGAAGAATATGTAAGAAAATTTGGGTTGCTTAGGATCCAGGCTACTGTTGATTACTGGTGGTAACTTTAGTAAATTGCTTTTATGTCTCCAGTTGTTCATTCCTATGATTCTTTACCATTGTAACTACCGGTAGTGTATTGTGAGTGGTGTCAGGTAACTAGTAAATTTTTTGTGTTTCTGATAATTGTTTGTTCAATTCTGTATTCCAGTATCATGATATTTTATTAGAATCTTAATAACCACTATTATTTTATCATATAATACATAGCCAGTTTATGTTGATTCCTTCTCGTCCATAGGAATTCGTTTTTAAAAAGCTGTATGTAATTCATGAAAGCAAAGTTTATCATTCTACCGCAGTGTAATCTCATTTTGATAAACCCAGCCACTCCAATTTAAAACAGATAGTTTCCTGGATTAGTATTGTTATCCCCAGAGGGTTCCGAATGAAAAATAGGGCTTCGACAACACCTCGCCATTTCGTCCTGTTCTATCCAGTCCTCTTTAGATGATCTCACGATTACCAGTAACCCCTTATCCCGTCACAGAATCACCTCCGTGTCACCCTCGGTCGCCCTGCTTGGCGTTCCATATTCAGGTTCCACTCGACGACCTGGCGTACGTTATTCGACGGTCTCCTTGGCGTGCATCCGATCCATCTCCACTTTCTTCTGCATATTTGTTGAGCAGCAGTTTCTTGATTAGGTTCGTTCCCAGAGTCCCTTGTTGCTAATTCTTTCTGGCTGATGATCTGATCTTGGGTATAGAGGCAGCTGTTGGTAGGAATCTGCAGTCTACTGTGAATGCTTTTGTTGATACTGTCACCAAGTTTCTGACTCATAGGAGAACTGACTGGCTTAATATTGGTGTTGAAATTCAAATTTTGTTCTTTGTGTTGAATGCAGAAGATTTCCAAACTAATTTCAGAGTGATGAAGGTGTGTCTTATTTTTTCAATCCTGGTTTTGACATACTCGTCCATGCCGTCTGCATGTAGTTGAAACGATGCTTCCAAGATAAGTGAAGGGAGTAACCTCTTTCAGAGTTTTCGAGTTCATAGTGATGGGTGCCTTTTGTTGTTGGTTGGTTATCTTCATCACCTCCGTCTTCTCTATGTTCACTTGAAGTGTTGTCTACGCTGCATACCTCTTCTGCTAACTTGTTGGTTTTCACCTATAAGGCTTCCAATTTATGTGATATTAGACATAAATCGTCTGCGATGTCCAGTTTTTCAGCAGTGTTTTCGTCCGTCCAACGTATTCCTGTCCTGTCCTCCCGTTTCTGGTTGGATAACATGCAATTTCATTTCTTCGTCAAAGTTTACGGAAAGAATTAAAACAAAAATCATAGTGAATTCGACCTTTATATTGTAAAATAACTTGCATTCTCAATAAGAGAATTCTGCGTTTCATATGGAGGGACTGTATAACTCCTACACAGCGTAGCATATCTAAGTTATTTTATGCAAGTGCAGCCGGCATAATTTTAAAAACATGACCGTATAACTTCGCAGAATCAGGGAAGCTATGAATAAAACCAGCCTATTAATCAAAGGTTGGTGCGTCGGTGGCATAGGGGTTAGGACGCTCGCCGACCATGCACATCGTCCGGGGTTCGACCACCGGCCGATGCACTCCTTTACCTCGCTAATCCAGAAATAATGCTGGTGAAGAGGAAAGGTTGGGCATGAGGCTAGCAACCCCATCCTGTAAAATGAACACTGCTACAGAAACTTCAAGCCAGTGGCTTGAAGCCCTATGTTCCACTGGGGAACGTGAAGGATAAAAAAAAATTAATCAAAGGCTCGTATTGAAGAAGTAGAACTTTTCGAAAAGATGGTAACAGCGTTATATTACCGGGTGGAAATCATCACCATCAGTTAGATGACGAGCTAGTGGTCTTGCGCTTGGCGCAGAGGTTGTGGAATAAATCATTCACATAGTGTGTTCCACCAAACCAAAGGATATAAACAATAATTCTTCCATATGACGTCTTCACCTTATTGTTCAGGGTGATTTAAAAGTACTCTAATCAATTAGTGATACTCACCTGCCTTACTGGCGACAGACACCTCGCTAATGAGCTTGACTTCAACTAAGTTAAACAGCGATCCGGAGTTTAGCTCATCTGTCAAGTTGATTACGTACTCTCCATGTCAAGAAGTGCTGTAAACTCCTTACGATTTTGTGCTTAATTCTTTTCACATCATTCTGTGCGTCGAGAAAATCAAAATGTGTGGTGTAAAATATTTTTCTTTCTCAAAGAAAACCACAGTAAAATCTCACAATTTTGGTTATGCTTAGTTATCATAATTTTCCTCGGAAGAAACCTAGGAGCCTTTGTATGCATCTCTTGTCAGTGAAGAGTTACTCTTTTCAGTGATATCATTTTCAAACTGTATAATCGCAAATATGTAAAATACACTGTCATAGCAACACGAAAAGAATGTTGCTAAGGTTGTGTCATTAAGATTTTGAGTTTTAGATAACATTCAAGAAACCTTAAATTACGTAATACAGAAACAGTAATCGGGTAGAGACTAAAGTAGTCAAGCTGGGTTACGTAACACAACTGATAGCACTGAGTAAAGTTCAACTAAGGCTGTGAAAGGTCAAGTCATGATTAGTGTCATAAAGTTGTAGAAGTGTATCAGTAGAAAAAAGACGGAAAAAAAATCAAAATGTTTACATAAATTAGGTCCCTTTGTAAGTTCAGTGACTGAATAAACTTCTGTATACAGAGTTCAGGATTTAAAATATGGATTGCTATAGCTTATGTGATCTGAAGAAGTTTGATTCGTACGCTTTTGGCGAGACCCCAGCATAGTTTGAAGTCGGTTTGGGAGTTCTCTTAGTGTCTAGAATCGATTATTTGTCCCAGAATTGAAATACTGGAGGATTTTTTTCTCCACTGTAAAACCATGAGGGTAAATTTTTGGATGATACTATTGGAAAGCAAACCCTGACTACTGTCAACAAAACTTGCCTCATAGGAGGAGTATTAGTAGCTTATCTTTTACATTCAATTGAATGAGTCAAAGTTCAACTGCCTAAGTTTTTCTTAGTGAAAGGGACAAATGACTTCTCAGTATTTCTTCATTGAATTGCAGATTCTAATAGAGAAGTTTTTGGAAGATAGAAAGTGTGTGTGTGTGTATGTATGACTTAGGTGGTTCAGGCCGCCTCATGAATTTAGTGATAAAGCGTTCAGAGTGGGTTTTTTTTAGTAAGGATTTCCTTTTAGCGTTTTCAGCTTTTCATTATGGATAAGATTTTATTTTGATAAATCACACAGTGTTATACAGTAATATTAACTGATGACCACGTTTCGAGCACAAACTATTGCCACTCATAATCATATCAAGTCACTCACACAACTTTTTACTTCATTTATATACAAGAGTGGAATTGATTAGACATTTGAATAAAGTTAGTGTTATCAATCAAATACAATCAGATGGGAAATAAAACGAGTGTTTTATAGTCATAATAAGTAACTTGTTAGAATGTTGTGATGTGCTTGAATTGAAATAGAATTTTGAGATTATTTATTATCCTCTTCTGATTTGATTGACTGGTGGTAATAATATCTTCCATATTTCTGGTATTTGCATTGAATCACTTCTGTTGCGCATGTGCTGGGTGTAGACTCCATGAACAAGGATTCAGTAATCAATCTCTGTCTATCTCCACCTACTTATATTACTTCTTAGAATTTTGACCCTCTCCCACTCTATTGTGTGGTTGTGTGTTAATGCATGCAGTGCAATTTCTGAGCTTTTTTCTAAATTACTTATCTTATCGGGGTCAACCATTCCTGCCTTAGCTAAATTCTTGTGTTCCGACAATCTGACTACTAGTTTTGTAACTACAGAAGACAAGGGCCAGGCAACAGATCGTTTATTAAGGAAAATACAGTCTTTTGATTGGTTGTTTCTCATATAAAGTTAACCTTGCATTTCTTTGTGGCTGTGTCAGATCATCCATATGCTAACTGTATCCGCCTACGCAAAGCCTTTGTTCTCATTTTCTCACCACCAATATTGGGGACATAAACATTGACGTCAATTACTGTCTACCAACTTTGGCTAGCAGCCAGCCAGTTTGACCTATGTAGTTGACCTGACTCAGTCATTGGAAGGTATTTTGTAAATATTTTTTTTTATCCTTCACATTCCCATTGGAATATAGGGCTTCAAGCTAGTGACTTGAAGTTTCTGTAGCAGTGTTTAATTTTACAGGATAGGGTTGCTAGCCGCATGCCTAACCTTTCCTCTTTACC